TTTACTATATCTTTTCTATGTTTAGATACACAAATGCTTATCATTGTATCATAACTGCCTACAGTATTCAGTACAGCAACATGCTGCACAGGTTTGTAGCCTAGGAATAGGCTGTACCACACAGCCTAACTGTGTAGTAAGCGATCCTGTCTACATTTGTGTGAGTATACACTGTGAGGTTCAACAAGGATGAAACGATGCATTTCTGAGAATGTATCTCCTTTGTGAAGTGACACATGACTGTATATGTATGGCCAAAAGTACATGAAAAGATGCTCAACATCACCAGTCACTAAGGACATGCAAATCAAAACTATAACAAGACACTCTGCACACCTGTTAGAACCTGTACAAGTAAAGACTGACCATACCAAGTATCGGGGAGGGTGTAGGCAACTACCCACCAAGACACTGATGGTGGGAATGTAAAATGCTACAGTTTGGAAAACCAGTACGGTAATTTCTTAAAAGGTTACCTTCTTAATCTTACCGTATGATTTAGCCATTCCAATCCTAGGTATTTGTCCAAAAGAAATAAAAGTATATTCCCATTCAAAGGCTGGTAAACAAATGTTCATAGCAACTTTATTTGTAATAGACCCAAACTGAAAGCAATCACGTTTGTTTCAACATATGAAGGAATAAACACACCGTGGCACATCCACACTGTGGAATACTACTCTGCAATACAGAGGAATGAACTTTGGGTACACACAACAACACACATGAAGCTCAGAATAATCACGTCGATAGAAAGAAGCCAGACAGAAGAGAGTACACTCCATTTCTAGAAAATTCTAGAAAATTCAGACTAAGCTCCAGTGATGGAAAGCAGGTGGGTGCCAGGGAGGGGGAATGAGGCAGGGTCTGCAGCAGAGATGCCTGTGGGGCACTGGGATGCTCCTTCCGGAGCCGCGGCTGTGGACCGCGGGGAGGGTTCATGAGTGTATCTGGACCCCAATTTCTCAAACTGTACACTTTAAACACGTGCAACTGGCGGTACGTGAACTACACCTCGGCAAAGCTGCTTTCTAAAAATATTTCTAGAGCCTTGTCTCCATCAGTTTCTCCCAAGGCGGCAGCTGCAGCCTGCGCCTCCCAGAGCCGCCCTCGGAGTCAGGTGCGCCCGGCCTTGGTCGCAGCAGCCCAGGGACGCTGCCTGCGCGCGCCCCGGGCCACCCTGGAGCAGGGGACAGCTTCGAGCAGCTGCTGGAAAAGCCGCCAGGGCCCCCCGTGTTCCCACCGCTTTACGCGGCGATTTCATTCCATCCTCACCACGGAGGCAGACGGCGCAGCAATGACAGCCCCGACGGCGGGGGCTGGAACCTTCCGACTAAAGGAAATGTCAAGACGCCACCACGCAAGCTGAGAAGCCGGGGCACCAACCCTGCGCGGCGACGCGCGGCCCCGCCAGGGAGGCTGCTCTGCGGGACCGGACCGCGGCGGGACGTGCAGGCCCCGCGCCCGGGCGCTCTGGGTCCCCGAAGAAGCCGCGACAGCTCCGCTTCCGCGCGGGCCCGGGAGCCCCCGCCCAAGGAGCCAACCGTTTATGTCACACTGTGACAATTATTCTGCATAAAATTATCATTAAAATCCCTAATTTTTCAGCCTCCAACCCCGCCAGTGGCCTTTTAGCAACCCTGGCGCCGGCGTCCGCGCGCTACCGGCGCGCTCATTACCGCGGCGTGGCGCCGCCCCCCGCGCTCGCAATCAAGCGCTAATTAGGCCGCGCGGGCCGGGGCCGTGGGGCGGGGTCTTGGATCCAGTCCCGAGGCAGGGGCCGGGGTAGGGGCGGAGGCGGGTCCTGGCTTGGGTAGGGGTCTGGCGGCCAAGGCCGGGTCTGGGGTCCAGGGGCGGGGGTTCGGAGTCCGGGTGCGGAGGCGGGGCCGGGGCGGAGGCCGAGACCGGCTCCGGGTCCGGGCGGGGGCGG